GAAGACTTTATGGCTGCTTCTATTTCTTTAGGCGATATAGATATGTTTAAATTGTTTATCTCTTCTTGATTTAATTTTGGTGAGTGATATCTATCCAGAAAATTATCCGTTTCCTTTAGATTTTCCAATTTAGCGGAGTACAGATTTTCAAAGTATGACCTGATGATTCTTTGGATTTCCCCAGTGTCTGTTGTTATGTCCCCTTTTTCACTTCTGATTTTGTTAATTAGCATGTTATCTCTCTGTCTTTTAGTTAGGTTTGATAAAGGTTTGTCTATCTTGTTGATTTTCTCAAAGAACCAACTCTTTGTTTCATTGATTCTTTGTATTGTTTTCTTTGTTTCTACTTTATTGATTTCAGCTCTCAATTTGATTATTTCCTGGTGTGTACTCCTCCTGGGTGAGTTTGCTTCTTTTTGTTCTAGAGCTTTCAGGTGTTCTGTTAATTCTCTAGTGTGGCAATTCTCCAGTTTCTTCATGTGGGCACATAGTGCTATGAATTTTCCTCTTAGAACTGCTTTCAAAGTATCCCAAAGGTTTGGGTATGTTGTGCCTTCATTTTCATTGAATTCTAGGAAGTATTTTATCTTTCTTTATTTCTTTCTTTACCCAGGGGTGATGCAATTGAGCATTGTTCAGTTTCCATGAGTTTGTGAGGTTTCAACAATTTGTGTTGACGTTGAATTCTAATTTTAAGCTGTGGTGAACTGACAGGATACAGGGGGTTATTCCAAGTTTTTTTTTTTTGTATCTGTTGAGGTTTGCTTTACTGCCAAGTATGTGGTCGATTTTAGAGAAGGTTCCGTGTGGTGCTGAGAAGAAGGTATATTCTTTTTTGTTTGGGTGGAATGTTCTATAGATGTCTGTTAAATCCAATTGGGTGATAACTTCTGTTAATTCCATTGTTTCTTTGTTAAGTTTCTGTCTGGTGGACCTATCCAATGGTGTGAGTGTGGTGTTGAAGTCTCCCACTTTAAGTGTGTGGGATTTAATGTTTGATTTGAGTTGTAGTAATGTTTCTTTTATGAACGTGGGTGCCTTTATGTTTGGGGCATATATGTTCAGAATTGCGACTTCTTCCTGATGGATTTTTCCTATAATGAATATGAAATAGCCTTCTTCATCTCTTTTGATTAATTTTACTTTGAAGTCTACTTTGTTAGATAGTAGGATAGCTACACCCGCTTGCTTCTTACATCCATTTGATTGGAAAGTCTTTTCCAAACCCTTAACCTTGAGGTAGCATCTGTCTTTGAAATTGAGGTGTGTTTCCTATATGTGGCAGAAGGATGGATTCTGTCTTCGTATTCATTCTGTGAGCCTGTGTCTTTTTATAGGTGAGTTAAAAACCAATGATATTCAGGGATATTAATAACCATTGATTGTTGATTCTGGCTTGCTTTGGATCCGTTTTTGGTGGTGGCTTTATGTGTGAGTTTTTCTCCTATTTCTGATTTCTGGTAAAGTTAGATTATCTATTGCCCTTGTTATTTTGAGTGTAGTTATCTTCGTTGGGTCAGAGTTTTCCTTCTAGAACTTTCTGTAGGGCTGGATTTGTGGATACGTATTGCATACATCTGGCTTTGTCATGGAATATCTTGTTTTCTCCATCTATAGTGATTGAGAGTTTTGCTGGGAATAGTAGTCTGGGCTGGAATCTGTGGTCTCTTAGTGTTTGTAGAACATCTATCCAGGACCTTCTGGCTTTCATAGTTTCCATGGAGAAGTCGGGTGTGATTCTGATAGGTTTGCCTTTATATGTTACTTGGCCATTTTCCTTTGCTGCTTTTAATATTTGTTCTTTATTCTGTATGTTTGGTGTTTTGATTATTATGTGGCGAGGGGACTTTTTTTTTGTCCAGTCTATTTGGTGTTCGGTAAGCTTCTTATAGTTTCATAGACATCTCCTTCTTCAGGTTGGGAAAATTTTTGTTTATGATTTTGTTGAATATGTTTTCTGCTCCATTGAGCTGGGCTTCTTTGCCTTCTTCTATATCTATTATTCTTAGATTTGGTCTTTTCATGGTGTCCCATATTTCCTGGATATTTTGTGTTAAGGATTTGTTGGATTTAAGACTTTCTTTTGTTGATGAATCCATTTCCTCTAGATTCTGTCTTCCATCTCTTCTTGTATTCTGTTAGTTAGGCTTGCATCTGTAGTTCCTGTTTGTTTTTTCAGCCTTTCAAATTCCAGAATTACCTCTGTTTGTGTTTTTCTTATTGTCTCCATTTCGGTTTTCAGGTCTTGAACTGTTTTAATTGTTTCCTTCATCTGTTTGATTGTTTTTTCTTGGGTTTCCTTGCTTTGTTTAAGAGATTGGTTGATTTCTTGCATTTTTTGGTTTGTGTTTTTTTTCCATTTCTTTAAGGGATTTTCTCATATCCTCTTTGAGGGCCTCTCACTTTCAGGAGGTTGTTTTGAAGGTCATTCTTTTCTGTTTCATCTCTGTTGATATGTTCAGGTCTTGCTGGTATAGAGTTTCTAGACTCTGGTGGTGTCCTCTGTTGTTGGTTGTGTTTTTATATTGCCTTTTACCATCCTTTCTTTCAGTGAGAGTTCATGGGGTCTCTTCCTCTCTTGGTGGGTTTGGGTCTAAGGATCCTTTCCAGTGCATTCAAGCAGGTCCAATACTTCAAAGGGTATAGGTGGGTCTAGGACACTCTCAAGCACAGGGCGGAAACCAGAGGGGACTTAAGCATTGGGAAAGGAGCAGAAGAAGCAGGTGTGGGCAGACTCAGGGTGATCCTTCTGGGAGGGGCAGGTAATCTCTAAGTGCAGAAAACACCCAGGGAGATGGAGCTGGGGGATGTAGGGAATTGGGGATCAGAGCAGGGCTCCCACTCACCTTAAGCTCCAGGGAAGAACCAGAAGACACTGAGGACTGAGGTGTGGGCAGACTCAGAGTGATCCTTCTGGGAGGCACAGGTCCTCTCTAGGCGGAGAAAATGCCCAGGGAGATGGAGCCAGGGATGTAGGTAGTTGGGGCTCAGAGTAGGGCCCCTACTCACCTTAAGCACCAGAAAGGACTGGAAGACACTGAAGACTGAGGTGTGGGCAGACCCAGGGTGTTCCTTCCAGGAGGGCCAGGTCCTCTCTAGGCACAGAAAACACCCAGGGAGACGGAGCTGGGGATGTAGGGAGTTGGGGCTCAGAGTAGGGCCCCTACTCACCTTAAGCACCAGAAAGGACTGGAAGACACTGAAGACTGAGGTGTGGGCAGACTCAGGGTGATCCTTCCAGGAGGCGCAGGCCTTCTCTAGGCACAGAAAATGCCCAGGGAAACGGAGCCAGGGATGTAGGGAGCTGGGGCTCAGAGCAGGGCCCCCACTCACCTTAAGCACTTAAGCACTTAAGCACCAGGAAAGGACTTTATCACCAGGAAAGGCTCATGTTTTCCTTCTTACCCATCCCTAAATCAACCCAGCCAACTGAATATGAAAACCTTTAACAGTTTTGTCTTTATGTTTCTCTCTTTATACATTAGGAAAGACGCTTGTCAACTTTGTTAGTTAAATGGGTTGGGCTGCCATTACCATATTCCACATGTCAGTGGATTAATGAGTCTCCACACTGCAGTATGGGAGTCTGAGGTGAGGATTCTCTCCAAGGTTGTCTTGTCTGGCCACCTTCTCTCAGTCCTCTCCTGGCAGACAGTACATTTCTGTTTCTTCCCATGATGAGAAGGGACACTGATTTCATCATGGGACTCCACTCTCTGCTTTCATTTAAACCAATTAACTCACACTCTAGGAACATTATATTAAGGGTTATTATCAAACTGTTAGCTATCAAGGGGTACACTGCAATTAATTGATACCACTGCGGAGACAAAAAGAAAAATAATTGTGGGATGCATAACACCTTACTTTTCAACCAGAACAGTTCCACATTTTCCTTCTTTTTTTAAAAAATGCTTATTTTATTTTTGTGTCTGAGTGTTTGCCTATGTGTATGTCTGTGTATCATGTGTGTGTCCTTAGATGTGTGGCTATCAGAGGGTCTATTAGATCCTGTCTTAGGGTTAATATTGGTTTGATGAAATACATGAGCACAATACAAATTGTGGAGGAAAGGGTTTATTCAGCTTACATTTCCACATTGTAGTTCATCACGCAAGGAAGTCAGGATAGGAACTTAAACTAGGAAGAAATCTGCAGAGGCCATGGAGGGGTTCTGCTTACTGGCTTGCTCCCCATGGCTTGCTCAGCCTGCTTCATTATAGAAGCCAGGACTACCAGGTCAGGGATGTGCTGTGTGGGATTCCTTTTTGTAATCTGTGAATAGGTATTTCTTTCATTGATTGATAAATAAAGCTTCGTTGGCCTATGGCAAGTCAGGATAAAGCCAGGCAGGAAATCCAAGCAGAGATACAGGAGAAGAAGGGCGGAGTATGCAAGTCATCCACCAGCTGCCCAAGACACAACATGCCAACAGGCTGGTAATACCATGGCCACGTGACAATACTTAGATTAATAGAAATTTGTTAATTTAAAGGTAAAAGCTAGCTAATTGTAAGCTTGAGCTATCGGCCACACATCTATAATTAATATTAAGTCTCTGAGTGTTTATTTGGGAAATGGCAGGGGGGAGAGAAATGTCCAATTACAGGGATGCACCACCCACAGTAGGCTGGCCCCACCCCCATCCATCAGTAACTAAGAAAATCCCTTACAACTGGATCTTATGGGGACACTTTCTCAACTGAGGTTCCCTCCTAGATAACCTAGCTTATATCTAGTCAGCATAAAACTAGCTAGCAAAGACTCCCTTGAACTGGAGTGACAGATGACTGTGGCCCACCAAGTGGGTGCTGCCAACCAAACCAGGGTCCTTTGCAAGAGCAACAAGCACTATTTAAAACTGAACCATCTCTCCAGTACTAATTATTTTAAAGAATACATCTGTGCAATGTTATTGAATCTTCAAAACAAGATGTGTTACCAAAAATCATTCTAATGGTGAATTTACTGTTGCTTTTGCCTCCATTCTCTTCTGGAAGAGCCAGCCTGCTATTCTCGCTCACAGCCTTCCAGTGTATCACAAGCGTGTCTGCCGGGGAGCTCTTTGTGATCGACAGGGATCGCTTTTTGTGAGTAGCTCCTGCCCCAGGCACAGTCATCAGTGGCTGGTGATCAGGATGACAATGTTCACATAAATGGGCCTATCATGTATCTCATGAATTATCAGTAATTCCTCATGTTTTACTTATTTAGTTGAAAAAACACATTATGAAATTTTGTGTTTATCATGTGATATCATGATTTTTGAAGAATGTGGAGAGATTAATGGTATTAATGAAACCTGGATGGGAAATCAGGAGCAAAGGTGTCTGCTGCTCAGAGAAAGCTCCAAATTCAGGGTGTGGACCAGATCTCAGTGCCTCAGACAACACAGCAGGAGGGGACTGAAAATCAAAGGAAATTTGTGATCCCCCTCCCCCAAAGAAGATATCAGTGGTTTCATGGCACTTCCGTGTAGTGGTTTCAGCAGCACATTGGAGCTGTGTAATAATGAGAGAGTGCACAGCCTGGGGATGGAGGAGTGGGAAGAGCCAGACAGCAGCTGTGTAGAAAGAGCTGTTCATCTCCTGTGTTTTTCACACATGGGAGAACCTGTGCCCAGTGGCCTGTGCTTAAGATTCACTGCTCACAAAGATGACCAAGATTTGCCCCAAGTACATGCCCAGAAGAGGAGACGTCAGAGAGGAGCTGAGGGCCTCGCTCAGTTGGTAGACTGGTGGCTTTGTGTGCATGAAACCCTGTGTTACATTCACGGTACCACAAAATCATGGGCATGGTCTTATGGGGTTGGGGTAGAGGCAGGAGAATGGTCATTCTTGGATACATATGGAATTTAAGCCCAGCCTACACTGGTGATCCTCTGCTAAAAAATAATAATAATAATCAGTGTTACAGTGAACTCACTGGGACAGGAAGAGCTTGGGATTCAGAAGGGCCAGGAAGGGAAAGGATTAGGTTTGGTCTCTGGTAAAGATTTATGGTTGTAAAAGAGACTATGGAAAGAATACATCAGACCTAAAGTGAGAGTAGCCAAAGAGAAGGATGTACTGTCCTGAAGCTGCACTGTGATCTCAGAGTGACAGTGTCACCTTCTTCATAAGAACTGGAAGGACACAAGTCTCCATGAACCCTGTCTGAGGTGATGTACGAATGAACTTCTCTTCTGGGAGACAGCTCCAGAGGGGCAAAATCTGAAGAGAGTGGGCTTACCGTTTCTCCGGAGGGGCTCTTGTGTGACCAGAGTGGACAAAAGAGGGGAGAGATCTCTGATAGGGAGAATAATAGTGAGAATGTCATAAGGATGATGGCCTAGAGATGCTGATAACTAAGATGGGGACCAGAATGGGAGTCGGCCTTGAGCGTAAGTGCATAGTCCTGTTAGGCTCCCTGTGGTAGCAGAAGCCTGTGTAGCCAGCATCCCACCTGTGCCTTCTGGACTAATCTAAGGATGTATAACCTGATCTTTGTCTTTGTAGACATGAGCACGCCAGTGGATACTACAGAGAGTCATCATATTTCTTTGGGAAATTGCTGGCTGAACTGGTACCCAGGAGGTTATTGCCAAGTATTATATTCACTGCTATCATATTCAGCATAACCGGTAAATGACAAAGCAAGAGAATTACTCTTGGGGGAGCATGTTTTGGTTAACACAACAGTGTCAAGCCTAAAGCAGAGAAGCATAAATAGAAATGCATGTCTCCACTGTGTGCCGTCTAATACAGGTGTTCAGTAGAAGGAAAGTCTCTAGGAATTGTTTACAAAATACTACAAATGCTGCTTGTGAAACTGACTTTATTAAGAGATTCTGAGTAGCGTAATGACTAAATAACATACATTTGAGACAGTGTCAACAGAGTAAAGTTAATTATTTCATGTCTATCCATATACATTTTGTGTGCATGCACGTGCATACGTGCGTGAATGCGTGTGTGTGTGTGTGTGTGTGTGTGCGCGCGCGTGCGTGTGGCAGGCACACACTTAGTGGATGCAGTGTCTGGGGAGGCCAGGAGAGGGCATTAGATCCCTTTGAGCTGGAGTTACACTAGACTGTGGGTCACTGTGTGTGTACTGGGAACAGAATCCAGCACCTCTCTAATAACAGCACACGCTCATAACCAGTGAGCCATCTCTCTAGCCCAGCTGTGTGTTTTCTGTGTTTCTGTGTCTCTCTATATAAATACAATATAGAAAAGAAGATAATATCTCATACACATGCATGTGTGTAAAAGAACTTAAATGTACACAGTGTCTTATTCTCCCTAATCTCACAGAGAAGGATACTGAATTGGAAGTTTGTTGCAATTTATAATTTAAGTAGTTACTTGAAATATGTTCATAGATTCATTTGTTAGCCTTCACCCTAGACTAGTTGTTCAGAATTTCAATGCTATTCTATTCACACTCACACACACACAGACAAGCACATACACACTCACACATGCAAACACTCACACACAAAAAGATAAGCACTGATAAAACTTAGACTTCATTCTATAAGATATTTATCCTTCAGGACCAGTCATTCAGGTCAAGAGATGGTTATGGGCAAATGTGCCTGTCCTGTAAGCTGGTCAGCCTGAATTTGATCCTCAGAATCCACATGGGAAGAGAGACTCACTCCAGAAAGATGCGCTTCAACTCCACACACACACCACAGCACATATACACCATGGCAGTTGCACACCATGATAAATGAACACCAGGGCGTGCACACACACACACCATACACACACTGAGCACGGCCAATGCACACCATGGCACATACACACACCATGGAACATCCATACCATGATACATAAGCACCTATACACACCACGAAAATGGTAACAATAACTTTCAAAGCAATTAGGCATGTAACTCAGCTCACCCAGACTCTAACTTGTGTCCTTGTGATGATTAGAAAACACAGCACTATGGATGTCTCATAGCATGAGCTCCAGAAAGATTACAAACCAGCTTCTGGAACACATTGTCTTCCTCCATACCAGTTACATGGTGATTTCCTAGTGAAATCTAAAGTTGGAGGCACCATCCTGTCATCTGGATATTAAAACCACTGCATGGTTGTTTAACCCTTGCATTACCTAAGTATCTATAGCTGTGATAAACACCATGGGAGGAACCAAGTTGGGGAGGAAAGTGTTTGTTTGAGCTTATGGTTCAGTGTACTTCATGAAGGGAAGTTAGGGCAGGAACTCAGAGCAGGAACCTGAAGGCAGACGGTGGGGCAGAGGCCATGGAGAGTGCTGCCTACTGATTTTCTCCTCATGGCTTCCCCAGCCTGATTTCTTACAGAACCCAGAACCACTTTCCTAGCATGAAGGTGCCATGGTGTGCATGTAAAATGGTGTGTATGTGCCATGGTGTTCATGTGTCATGGTGGGCATGTATCACTAAGACTTTGCACATGAATCATTCATCAAGAAAATGCTGGCACGATCTTACCTAATGGCAAATCTAATGGAGACATTTTCTTAATGATGTTGGCTCTTCCCATAAGATCCTAGCTTCCGTTATACTGCCAAAAACCCTACCAGTACAGTTCTGATTCCAATTTCATTACTATTATATAAACACAGGGAATGTGAACATGTCCATGTTCTACTGCTGATTCTCCTGTAAGAAAATGCAGTAAAATTTTAGCCAGTTGTGTTGTCTGTAACTCTACATGCCAGGATCCCATACATTGCTCATAATTATGTATAGAGGAGAACAATTACTATAAGTAAAGGCATAAAAATAAATCCATAAGATGGGAATAGAGAAAGGCTCATTGATTAGGAGAAGGTGCTGCTCCTTTAAGGCCCCCAAATTTGGTTCCCAGCATCCACATGATCAGGTAGCAGATGCAGGCCCAGAGAAGTTGGGTGGCTGTGAAGCTGTTACTTGTCTTGCTGGTTATTAAAGTATTATCTGAAATATGTACAATTCCCTTGACTTAGGTAGAGGAACTGACCCCACTTTTATCTTTTTAAGGAATCATAACAGATGTGAAGGGATTCTTCACTATGTTGTTTACCATCATGATGCTGGCTTATTCTGCCAGCTCTCTGCCACTGTCTATAGGAGCAGGGGAGAATGCAGTGGCTGTGCCAACACTACTTGTGATGTTCTACTTTGTGTCCATGCTGGTGAGTGTGAATTGTGTTTTTCTGAGAGGAAGAAATTTCCTTGTGTTCCTTCTTGAACATGTACATGCTTGACACATCAGGACTTGAGACATGAGCTAAAGCTTATTATGGTCTGTAGGAGAGAAGGAGCAGACTTTCCTCCCAGGCTTTGTGGCTACTGCTCTGATGTCAGTTTGATGAGTAAGAAAACAAAGAATGACCCAAGAAAATAAAAGAAAAATGAGAAAGAACATTTTCTTGGATGTACAAGTACATGTGTCGCAAGTTGTCCCCTTTGGATCATCCAGGCAACCATTAAAACTAATTCTCAAAAGGAACCTAACAATACCTCATTTCCTAAAGGACACACATAGTGTTGGTAGTGTTAGTAGAATTCACTTTATTTTTACTTTTGATAAATGTGCTTATAAAGCTGATGTAGGAATTGAATACTGTGTTAACTTTACAGCATGTGGCCAAGGAGTTCTTGCTACCCCTGTGTATCAGGCCATCCCCAGGCTCAAATATCCTTTTCCATTGAGTGGGACCCTGTCCTACCAGAGCAAATGGCATGTTGTTGACCTCTGTATGAGCGGAGGACACATGGGGTGGTAAAGTGTGCCAGAGTCTGTTGCTCTTTTTCCCACGTGTGCAGACAGACCCACTGAAACCCTTTATCAGCACAGGAGATAAATTATTCCTCATACAACAGGAGGATGGGTTCTCACCCCAATGGTGGTGATTCCCTGAATGGTTGATGGTACTCTTAGCTGTTTTGTTGTTCAGAACTGTTCTGCTAATCAGGGTCTTTTGCATTTCCATGCAAAATTTAGTACTGCTCTTTCAATTTGTGTGAACTGTATTATAATTTTGATGGGAATTGCATTGAATTTGTTTATTGCTTTCGGTAGGATAGATATTTTCATATTTATCCTGCCAATCTATAAGCATGGAAGGTCTGTCTAACATCTAGTGTCTTCAGTTTTCTTTTCAGCATCCTAAGGCTTTTATTACTCAAGTATTTCATTTGGTTAGATTTATTTCAAGATCCCCCATTCACCCCCTTTTGAGATTTTAGTGAATGAGATTTTTTTCCTCGTTTCTTTCCCATTATGTTTGTAATGTGTACTTGGAAAAGCTCCTGACTTTTCTATGTTTCTCATGGTATTTTATTACAACCACAGGAAAGGAACTAAAACAACAGGATATTGTATAAAGTTTCTATGTGGGACCTTATGAAGCCAAGTGTTGTGTTTTCTGTATAAACATTTGGTCAGGTGCAGTCTGGACGAATGCACAGAGTCACTGTTTTGCATATTCTAGTGTGCTTAAGAGTAGATAGGACGAGTTCATTGAGAACTCCAGAGCTGTCCCTTGTCCATCCCCATGAGTGCTTTCTGGCATCTCTGTTGTGGTTCTGTAGTTTGGCAGCTTTTTAAATAGGGATCTGTCACTTTCTGTGCTGTCCTTCACCACCCTGTGTGGTTTATCAGTTCTAGTCTTGAACTTGTCTTAAGGTGGTATTTTAATTAATCCCAAAGTTACTCCCAATGTCATGGAGAATCAAAACGCATAAGAAACTAAATTTATAGATCCTTGGAAATAGAAGTGTATATGTGATGTTCAGTGTTTGTCCTACTTATGGTTTCTATGGCTGTGATGAAACACCATGGCCAAAAAGCAAGCTGAGGAGAAAAGGGTTCATCTGGCTCACACTTTCATATCACTGAAGGGAGTCACAATAGGAACACAAAGAGGAGGAACCTGGCGGCAGAAGCTGATGCAGAGATCATGGAGGGTGACACTTACTGGCTTGTTTTAGTGACTCACTCAGACTGCTGTCTTCTAGAACCTAGAATGCCCAGGCCAGGGATGGTAATGCACATAATTGTGTCTTGGCATTGTCAACTCAATTGCTAATTAAGAAAATGCCCCACTGTCTTGCCTACAAATGATCTTATAGAGACATTTTCTTTTTTTAATTTAATTTTACTTAGTTAACATTTTTTATTTTACACACTGACCTCCTCTCCTCCTATTCCTCCCGCTGACTCCCATCTATGCTCTCCCCATCCACTCCTTCTCTGTCATTCAGAATGGGATAGGCCTCCCATGGCTTGAACAAAGCAAGGCACATTAAGTGAGGGAGGATCAAGACCCTCCCTAGAGCCATTTCTTCATTGAGGTTCCCTACTACGCAGTGAATTTAGCTTGTGTCCAGTGGACACAATCCTAGACAGTTTTCTTCTATCATATGTCCCTAGATGGCAGCAGTTTTATTAGAATTATCACTACAGTTGGACTATCATCTTGTCAAAGATTCAACCAAATACATCTTGAAACAAATGATTATTCTGCTCTGAATATCACCATCCCCTGAATTATGCAGTATATACTACATAGCTACATAAATTAGAGAATTTTAAATATGTAGGATGAGTGCATTTAAAGTTTAAAGAATGCTTATATGTTGCATGCCATTTTAAAGATAATGTAATTTCTGTAGGTTTGGCTTCCGCAAAGGGGTGACAACGTGAGGAATTCTGTTTCTGTTTAAAGTTAACTGAAAGATTGATTTAAAGAGCTTGTCTGAGCAGAAGTGGTCAGAAGGATGAAGGGGTCTTGAAGAGGAGGATCTTGTCTAGAATACTTAGTCACTGGACTGGTTCTAATTCATGGTTTTTTCTTCACAGTTTTTCTCAGGTCTGTCAGTATATTCAGGAAGCTTACTACCTGGGCTTTCACAAATTCAATACATTAACATTCCTCATTATGGATTCACAGTAAGTTATCCAGTCTGTCACTGTACTTGGCTTCTCCAACTGTAGCAACTGAAATGATTCTCAACCAAGTCCATTCCTGAGCTGTAATCTCTAACCAGCTCCTGCCTAGCATTTTCCTTCCAGGAGATGAGAACTTTCCTGTTGGTTTTGCCAAAGGCCAGTGAGTCTTCTTGGGTTTTCCCCAGTCATGTGTTATTTGAGGGAAATAAATGGTGAGAAAAATTCCAGGATAAAGGGGAAAGATAGATGATATTATGAAAAGCACACAGTTGTGATTCTACCCAATAAGGAAACAAAGAAAGGATGAGGGATACATAGTTTACATCAGGAAGATAAAAGAAACAGAAGCCATGTGATGCCCACAGCCATACTGGCTTTGCCAAGGTTTCTGTGCAGTAAAGTGTGTCTTAACAGACTTTCTTACTCCCATAATCACTACTCGTTTTGATGAAAACAATAAGAAATAGTGTTACTATGAATCAATAGTATTGTTTCAATTACAGTGTTTACATGGTTACAGACAGGGCAGAGAAGGAGGTGCCTGAGGTAATCTAGTTAGAGCCCACCTCCTAGTAGCTGGGAAGACCCTTCATTTCCATCCTAAATCTCCTGAATGGGGGAGGAACACTGCTTTGCTGGGCAGACTGAACTTGGGGTTTTGTTTGTTTAAAAATATTTTTTCAAATTACATTCAAGATTGAATTTAAAGTTATAGCTGTGTTTATTCTTTGGAAACTTATAAAAATATCAAACTATTTGCTTTCCCTGTTTTTGTTTGTATTACAGGCTTTGCTGCACAATGAATTCTTGGGGCAAAACTTCTGTCCAGAACACAAAACAGCAGAAATCAGTAGATGTCAGAACCACGTAATGTAAGCTTAAGTTCAGGATCACAATGGGGACCTAGAATGCTCCTAGACTTAGAGGGGAAACCCATCCATTCATGATTAACACTCTGTCCCCTGCCCATTCCCCACAGTGAGTCATTGTAACCAATGCACATGTGGCTGTGTTTCCATCCTACTGCTCTGTGGTGTAGACAATGTGCAGAAAGGGTTCTTTGGGCCTTGAAAAAATGGCTTTGGTGTCTTAATTGTGGGTTTGAGTTCCTTGATTCAGAACATTTGGGTCTGACATAGGCTGCTCTGATAGTTCACAGGGCACACAGTTTGCATATGTGTAGATTATGGTTCCTGTGAGCAGAGCCCAAGAATGTCAGGGCAACAAGGGCAGCAAGGGCTGAGCTGTGCCTACCAGACTCCAGGGTCTTCCCTCTGCCTCACTCTCTGGGAGACTTCAAGAAAGCAAAGGCCAGTGTGTGTGTGTGTGTGTGTGTGTGTGTGTGTGTGTGTGTGTGTGTGTGTGTGTGTGTATAATATGTCCAGAATTTTTTAGCAACATTTGCTTTTCTATCCTGTGTCATGGCTTCTGCATCTTGCTGTGCTCCAACCACTACCCAGACTGTCTGTAGCCATGGGCCACTGGGGATGTTCAATAGTTGACCATACATGGTTGTCACGGCTATCTTAGTACAGGAGCTGACAGGAATTGACTGGCTCCTGTCAGAAACCCTTATTCTCCTCTGGTCCTCAATCTAGATTTTGATGCTGTTTTCTTTTGCATGACTCTACTGAGTCAACTGAACTGCGCAAAACTTTGATATCTTAGCGTGTCTGTGTGTGTCACTAGGAAGCTGAGGTTTTCCCTTCAGGAAAAACAAGTGCTTCATCCATGCCTTTCCCCTTTGATGAGAAAGCTACATTGTATACTGAGAAATGAATGACATGTTAAGACAGTGAAGGCTACAAAAATGGATCTTATTGTGACTCTGTAAACTTGCCCCCAAGTTTGCTAAGCCTACTTACTCTATGCTTCTAAATAGATGTGACACCTACACCTCTTTGGATCATTTTTTTAATTAACAAAGGGACCTGATTCAAGCAAGTTAGATTTCATAATATATAGCAAAATGGTAAGCTCATCATTACTACTCTCAAATATACAGAAGAAAATTTTAGTGTTGTGTTGAAACTATCAGTTTTTAAGAGAAAGGAACAGTGAATGTACTGAATAAGCTTTGACATTATTTTTGTTTGTGTTGAATTACAGATGTACTGGTGAAGAATTCTTGACAAACCAGGGCATTGATCTCTCACCATGGGGCTTCTGGCAGAATCACGTGGCCTTAACCTATATAATGATTATCCTCTTATCAATTACCTATATGCAGTTGTCAATACAGAAGAAAGTAGATGTTCTCAGGTCTGAGTGGAGGAAGTTCAACAGTTATTTAAAGAGATGTGATTCCAAACTATTCTAAATAATAATACTTAAACTCATGGACAAATGCTACAGCCAGCATCACCCAGAAGAGATTCCCATGTAATGAACTATGATGAGTGCAGAGACCCATGGCTGCACAAGGTACCAGAGTAGGTGACACTTGAGTGCCTCACCTGTAGAAACTGCCTTTTAGAATAATTGCCCACTCCTATATTTGCTGGTTCCCAAGATCCTTTGCACTCCTATAGATTACAACTATGCTGCTATGTCTGCACGAGTCTTCATTTCCTTTGGGTTTCTATAATTTATATTCAAAAGTCCTTCATTCTGTCTTTTTCCATGACAGGAAAGTACTCATCAGTAATATAGGTTTTTTTCAATGTCTTATAAACTGATGCACAATGGAACAAAAAGTCCAGTTTGGCTCATGGTACAGACTCAGTGTGCCCCTGGTTCTTCCTGTTGACCCTTTCAGTGTTCCTTCTAGCCAATATGTATTCCTGTGACTCTGTTGAACCCAGCCTCTCTCTAGCAGGGACCCACAGCTGCCACACTAGGCTAGTTCTCACGTAGGGGACCTTCATCTTCCTTCCTCTCTACACTTACCTGCAGTCCTGCTGGCACCTGTCCACATATGCCACCACACACACCAAGCCTGTCTCCACCCACAGTGCAGCATGAGTTTTCTGGCCCATCTGGGTCTTGCCACCATTGAGCCCCAAATAAACACACATATGCTTCATTAGTTATAAAACTTTTGGCGAATGACCAGGGCTTCTCATTGGCTATCTCTGTCTTAATTATTAATCCATTTCTATTGATCTATGTGTTTCCACAAGGTCTTGGCTTACCAGGGAACTCCCAGAACTGCTACTTCTTTGTTGGCTACATGGAGACTCCTGTCTACCTAACACTTACCAGAATTCTCCTTGTCTGGTAGCCCTGCTTGTCCTTCCTGCCTGGCCAATCAGTCTTTTATTCATCAACCAATAAGAGAAACATATGTACAAAAGACATTCCCCTATTACACAAGGACCCAGTCTTTTGTTAATGACCCAGGGAACTCCTAGCTCTTCCCTGCAACCCTGTCAGTATTTCCTTCTAACCAAGCTCTGTGAGTATCTACTGACCTGCAGAACAGCTCTCCAAATAGACTGAAATTTAGGACCCACACATTGGCCACACTTGTCTAGAAACAGATTGGGCAACAGCAACCAAAAACAGAACATCTACCCAATGAAGACCAGACCACGTACTTACACAAAGAAAGACTTTAAATATCATAATTCCAGATGCCTAGATCCCAGTGAATAAAATACAAACATGACCAACATTACACCTCCTCTAGAATCCAGCAACCCTCTCAAAACTATGAATAAATGATCTACTGTAAGATCCAGCTATAATACTCTTGGTTAGGGACCCAAAGAGCACTAAGTAGCAAAGATACTTGCTCATTTATCATGTTCACTGATTCCCTATTCATAACACCTGGCACTACACCAACTGGCATCAAGGCTACCTTAAATGCCCTCCCCCATAATGAGTTTGATGACTACCATATATACCATCCTAGAGCCCATCCAGTGGCTGGTGGAAGCAGAGGCAGACACCCACAGCTAAACACTGAAATACAGTTGCAAAGAGGGAGGAGTGATGAGCAAAGGAGTCAAGACCTGGCTGGTGAAACCCACAGAGACAGCTGGCCTGAACAACAGGGAGCTTATGGACCCCAGACTGGGACTGAGAGGCCAGCATGGGACTGATCCAGACCCCCTGAATGTGGGTGTCAGTGAGGAGGCCTCAGCAATTTATGGGGTCTTGGAAAGCAGACCAGTACTTATCCCTAGTGTACAAATGGACTTTGGGAGCCCATACCACATGGAGGGAAGCTGTCTCAGCCTGGACACATAGGAGAGGGCCTAGGCCCTGCCTGGGATGATATGACAGACTTTGAAGATCCCCCATGGAAGGCCTCACCCTCCCTGGGGATCAGAGGGGGGATGGGGTGGGAAGCTGGGGGGATTGGTGGGGAGTGGGGAAGGAGGGGAGGGAGACGGAGCTGGGATTGACATGTGAAGCTAGCTTGTTTCTAATTTAAATTAAAAAATGAAAAAATATGAATGTCAGATCCATCTAATGAACAAAATATTGTATCATCTGGTAACCAAACAGCACTACTGTTTTACATGTATACATAGATATATAAACAAATGCTTTAAATGTCTTGAGAGAACTCAGTTGTATTTTCTTATGGAATAAAACTTATAATGAATCGTAAAAAAATAAAAGACTATACATAACTTGGTAACAGGACCCTATTGCTGAAGACCCCTCTTACTTATGTCATTGAATACAGAAAAGTCAAGCAGGTACGCAGTTAGAATCTTCACCTGCACTGATAACATTCATGGTGCTTGAAGGCAATTTGAATACTCCTAGAGGAGAAGAATAACCAATATCACCCAGTGACAGATTCTGTAGCCTCCATCAGTAACATGCATGCAAAAAATACTGGTACAATAGTGGCACAGACCTTATGATTGTAAACAACCACCTAAGGTCCACTATAGGAGATTAAGCTTGTATCTGACACTGCTAAAGTGGCCAAGAACCTGAGACTACATTGGCCCTGGGTTAGGGGAAAACCTACTATTATTTGTCTAAAGAAACATAACACACAGTGATTCTTAATGGCATATTGTTGTATCTATAAACTAGACCATTGCTCAAGACCCATCAGAGAAGCATCTTCTTACACTAGTTAGTAATTTACAAGGAGGTCCACAACTGGACAGTATACAGAGACTGGAGACTTTGTAGCACACAGCCCTACATGGGATGTCTTCATCAAACCCATATCAATGAGGCTCCGAGTTTAAGAAGAAGAGGAGGTAAAAAGGTTTTAAGAGCCAGAGGTGGTAAACAACTCCAAGGAAACAGCATCTTCTGAAACAATAGGACTAATGTACATAGGAACTCACAGAGACTGGGGGCAGCATGCACAAGACCTGCACAGCTCAAGCCAGACAGAATCCCAGCACTGAAAAGGGGAAGAGGACACAAAATCCCACCCCTAACCCAGAAGCTATGTGTAATTGGAATCTTCTGGGAAAAGGAAAATCAGTTTTCTCCAATAATGTGTCACTGAACATATCAGCTACACTCCAGGGCAGGACCTGTACCCAGGGATAAACATGCTGGTAACTTTGTGTTGTTAATTGAAACATATCCAATCCAGAATCCTTGATGTTCTGTGGAATTTTGTTTTGTTTTGGTATTTATTGTCTTACTGGTTTTCTTTAGTTTGTTTTGAATTTTTTTTAATTTTTTGAGGTGTGTGAGCAAGAGCCCACGTGTGTGTACACAGAGAGAGAGAGAGAGAGAGAGAGAGAGAGAGAGAGAGAGAGAGAGAGAGAGAGAGAGAGAGAGAGAGAATCTGTGAAGGGTACTGGTGAAAGGGAATGAATATAATCAAAATACATTACATGAAAATATGTTTACATAAAAAATTTAAGTACTATTTGGTGAATTATTTAAAGCAAGATACATTACAAACACCTCTCTTGGTTAGCAAATGGATTGTGACAAACACAAGTAGGGCAGTCATGCACCTCTCTAATCAAGACTTCCTGTTTCCAAGTGTTTCTAAAATGACACAATGCACCCATCTCTGTTTACCATCAGAGCACTATTACAGTCCAATTTTTTTCTTCTAGTATTCGTAGGCATGGATTCAAGTTTCCCATCCACTTGTTAGGCAATTTATCTTTCCTTAATTTATTGAGACAGAACCTCATGCCCTTTAGAAGAAAAATTTAGGAAGACAGTGTGGAAAGTTCTCATGTGTCTTTTACCCATATTTCGTTAATGTGAAAATTTCCTTTGCAAGGTACTTTGGTTAAAGCTGGCATTGACATTAGCACATTGATATTGTTTGTTAACTTGAACAATATATTCAGATTCCACCACTTTCCTATTAATACTCCTGTATTGTTTAGGGGTCTAATTTGGGATATACAATGCATCAAGCTCCCTTCATTACAAAGTAAACTGTTAAAAGTAAAGGAGCCTAGGAGATCACTGAATGCAGACCCCTGTGACTTAGTATCATTTAGCAGCCTCCATTCAACACCAGTCTGGAGACACTGCTAGACACTTTTATGAGGCATTGTCATATACTTTTATCTTAACAGAAGAAGGTTTTTCCTTAAGACATTGATATCACTATAATTTACTCTATGTACTGAATATTTTTGTGAATATCAAGGTGGTTAGTTGGGTTTTCTATTTTGATAAAACACCATGACAAAATCAGGCTGGGGAAGAAAGGGTTCATTTCATCTTAAAGTTGGTAGTCTGTCATCCAGGGAAGTCAAGGCAGGAACCCGGATGTAGTAACTGATTCAGAAGCCACAGAGGAATGATGCTTAGTGGTTGTTCTTCATGGCTTGCTCTCTTTGGCTTGCACAGTCTGCCTTCTTATAACATACAGGACAATACTGCCCTGGGCACCAGACCTCTAATCAAATCACTCAGGAGGTAGCAAGCACGTGAATAGAATTAGAACTCCAGCTCTCACTGTATTTTAAAGTTATTTTTTTTACAATTGAAGATCAATTAGAAGGCATTTTTTAATCTTTAAAGAGGTAGTAGTGAAATCGTTGGTTCTATTTTACTGAATTCTTATATAGTTGCATATATTCATGCAACATGTAGCAGTCATCAGCCTGGGTATCAGGGATGTGTATGCCAACTAAACAAATGTTTGGCCTTTGGGGGTGAAACCCTGGGACACAGGCCCTAGGTCACAGGAAAAGGTAGACATCCAGCCCCTGTACTACATAGGGACAGCCACTAACCCGATTGTCAACCCATTGACTGACAAAACTTACTGTGACTGGGGACAGTCAAAATCATCAGTAGAGGACATAACCTAAACACTTCTTTTTCTGATTCCTGCTATTCTGTCTTATGGGTTAATTCATCTGTATAACAGCAATATTACCAAGACCCTTAAACTTCTTGGTGGGTAGTTTCAATGTTTTGACTAAATGTGCCTCTTCTGAGGCTTTCCAAACTAAGTAGACAGGTTGATCAAGACCTAGAGGTATTAACACAGTAGTTAGATTCCCTCACAAAATTAGAGAGGCTTAGGCTTCTCATGAGATAAAGGAAACTATATATGACTTTGGGAGAAAGCATTTGTTTCTACTGATCTGTAACTTAAAAAAAATATTGCATCACCACCAGAGAGTCTGGGGTGAAAGGAGGACACTAAGAGAGATATGCATGATAACCCAGAGAAGGGTTATGGGATGCGATCTCCTAATTAGATTGGGGAGGGGGAGAAGGAGAGGGCAGAAGGAGATGGAAAAAAGAGAGGGAGAGAAGAGGAGGAGAGAGGACAACACGGGAGAGCAGGAAGATTGAGCCAGGGTAAGAATAGAGGAGAGACGGATGGGAGATACCATAAAAGAGGGAGCCATTATAAGTTGGAGGAGAGATCTGGCACTAGTGAGATCTTCCCAGATCTACAGGAATGACACCAACTGGCATTAAAGCTATCTTAAATGCCTCCCATGATGGTGAGAATGATGACTGCCTTATATGCCATCCTAGAACTCTCATCCAGTAGCTGATGGAGACGGAGGCAGACACCCACAGCTGTGAACCAAATTGAACTCCTGGAACCCACTCGCAAAGAGGAGTGATGACCAAGGGAATCAGGATCGGGCCGGCGAAGCCCACAGGGGCAGCTGACCTAAACAAGGGGTATCACATGAACCCCAGACTGATGATTGGGAGCCAGCATGGTACTGATCCAGACATCCTCCTACCAAACCCGGGTGACAGAGAGGAGGCCTTGGCAATCTGTAGGACCTTGGAGAGTGGAGCAGTATTTATTCCTGGCATACAAAAGGACTCTGGGAGCCCATGCCAGGTGGAGGGATGCTCTCTCAGCCTGGACACATGGGAAAGAACCTGGGCCATTCCGGGGATGATGTGACAGACTCTGGAGATCCCTCATGGAGGTCCTTGCCCTCCCTGGGGAGTGGAGGGGGATGGAGTGGGGGTGAGGGGTTGGGAGGATTGGGAGGTGGGGGAGGAGGGGAGGGATAGGGAACTGAAAGTGACATGCATAAAAAGTTAAATAAAAAATATGGAAAATTATTGCCATGGTTGGAAAAATAATTGGTACTAGTCTCTGTTCTCTTAGTCCCCCTGACTAACTAAACAACTTTCAGCACTGATTGGGCCTTTAATTCTCTTTCTGATTGGATTAACAGCAGGGCCCTGCATCGTAAACTAAAACAGGATGAGTACATGATTGGACTCATTCACTAAGACCAGTGGGAAATGTAACAAGTCCCCAGACCTTAACACAGATGACTCCATGATGGAAGTGCCATCCAGGTGGCAGAACTCAGCACGTAGACAGCACCACCTGACAAAATTAAAACAAGGGCCTAATACATACAAGTCTATATACTTCTGTGAAAGTCTCAAATTTTACTAGCCTAGATTTTTAGCTTCTATAGTTCTACTTCTGATGAACTGTTCTTGTTAACTGAAGTATATAAACCCAAAAGATAGAGGT